ATTATGATAGGCAATAACAGCATCAATGGTGGTGGGTGGCGTGATAGTGGTGGGTGTGACGATAGGGAGTGGTTAGGATCAATGGTGGTGGGTGACTGGGAAAAAGTCCAACGACGGGCGGGATATGTGAGTTTTATTCGAAGATATCCCAAGTTTGGTGATATAAAATTCGCTAAAAACACAAATAGTGAATTCCACATTGGTGGTATAGCCAATAACACTTCTGAAAGATTGGCCTTTTATTTTAATTCAAAATACATAGTAAATTGCTCCAAAATTCATTCCAACAAAATGTAACTTAAAAGTTTCAAATTTTCTCATAGTGTGTGATTATAATAGCAAACATATGAATCAAAATATAAAAAGTTGCACTGAATGTAACTTAAATGCATCAGCAAAAAGAACATCAAGATGGATTAGTGAAGTTATCATGAATAACTTTTCTGATAGAAATATTACTCAATGTTATGTTGGTTTATTTTGCAATTAGTTTGCTAGTAGAGTTTAGCTTTATTAATGAGATTCCTTGTTGATCATATGAGCCTAAGTATCCCATGTGTTAAACCATTATTGATTTGATACTGATGTCTTCTGATAATTTATTAATTTGTTTATAGATAGTTCAACTTAGTAACCATGAAGGTTATGATCATGTTTGATAGGCTCACTTGGAGCATTTTCTACTTGCACATAAATTTAAGTTGATGACTTCAACACTTTAAAAAAGGAAAAATAATTTACTAGTCTAACATGTATGTTATAAATTCTTAGATGTAAATAGATTGAAATTAGTTTACAAATTCAAGGATGTGAACAAAATTTATTTGGCCAATTAAAGTTATAGTGTCTTGTAGACTATTTTTATTTGTCTTGTAAATAGTGTAGAGGGAATCTTTTTTGTTTATTGTGCAAGTTGTGATTCACCATCAAAGTCTTGGAAGGTTAAATCATTTGAATCTTGATTTTCAGTTTGTCTAGCACATAAAGATAGACGTGGATGTTGTGCTTATCTAGTATAAGAAAATATGATGTTGGTAGGCTTTTATGTTATTAAGGAAAAAATATTGCATCAGGACTCTGCATGTAGAGTTACGTGCGGTGTCCAATGAAATTATGTTACGTGGAGCTGACAGAAAAAAAAATCGGCCCGGTAACATAAGGGAATATTCCCCTCGTATATTCAGGTGTTATTGTATGTTATTCAGGTGTTATTGTGTTCTGAGAATATTCCCGGTATTATAATAACACAATAACACATCAATAACACTTGAATAACACACAATAACACCTAAATAACACACAATAACACTTGAATAACACAGGAGGAATTTTTTTTTGTGTTGCCTGACGGATTTTTTTTTATCACCACCACGTGACGTGATTTCATTGGACTCCGCACGTAGTGCAGAGTCCTGATGCAATATTTTCTCGTCATTAAGGAGAAGGCTTACCCACCACAATGACAGAAAGTTTGAAGATTCCTAAGGGGCGTTTAGGCATGAATGTTGATTGGGTGGATTGCAAACCTTGTAAAACTCATCAATTGCTATTTTCTTAGATCTACTTTCATTTCATATTTAATTATCTTGCTTCTATTATTTTTTTTGTGCCGATCTTGTGCTCAATGCTAATATGCCATTGTAAGCAAGTATATCTATTAGTAGTGCTCAATAGTTTAATTATTCTCATATACAACATATACTTTTGTATCAACATATATCATTGAGACTTGTGTACATTTGATTTATAGTAATTGTATGATCAATAATTGTGAATCTGAGTTAATCTTTATATTGTGCTCAACATTCATTCACTTATTTTGTCTTATAGTCTCACACATTGATCACTTTGTGTTGACATTTGAATGTAAGTTCATGTGCTTGTTTCAATGTTATATCATCTACATTATGCTTACATTGATCAATCAAGTTGTAGCATTACACATCTTGACAACAGTGACCACAAGTTTTTGTTTGATAGTAAGTGACTTTATTCTTGATAAAATATTTGTTATACATTTTAAAGAGGTCAATCTCCGCAAGACTTGTGCTATTCTTGACAATCATGTTGAATTCTGTGAAGCATCAAATCAACTCTATATAGCTTCTGATGGATCTATCGTGATCAACAATGTGATGACAATTCTCATCCTCCTTCAAAAGTTTCTGAAACCTCAACTGTCTCAGAAGAGAAATCCAAAAGGTGTAACTTGCAACTATTTTAGAAATATATACATTAAGATATGTAATATCAATCAGTTACAATTTCATACCTATCAATGTTTGAGAAATGAAATCATTAAGTTTTAATCCAATTTGATGATCATGATGATAAATCACGTTAGGCTTGCTGTTTAAAGAGAGCAAGCAGCTGAAGGCCGAAAGAGAGTTCGAATTTGCCGCATTGGATATGCCCCCTATTGAAAATCAGACACTGCATATTGGTGATTCTCCCTATCCTACTCCAATAAACTTGGTAGACAGCATGCGAAGACCAAGAACTATATGTCCACCTAAGGCAAAGATTTTTAGTATCTGGTTGCTTCAAGCACAGTTTGTTTATCCAATTTCAGATCTCCCTGAGAGTACATTAGGATTGAAGGTAGCACGCATGAAGATAGTGACAAAACAGAAAAGATTTATGACAGACCTAATGTGGATAAGCCTACCTTTGGAGCTGTTGCAGCTCACTGGGACGAAGAGGTTCCTTCTTGCACTCCATCTAAGTCAAATGATAGTTATGAAATTTCAAATTTCATAACAAAGTACAATGAGGTGTATTGTCTTTCTATTTGCACCTTTCTTTTGCATTTCATACGTATGCACAAACATGCAAATCAATGTTAGGATATGAAGGTTAGCTGGCATGCCACGCCATTTAGCCTCTCGGATGAAGATGTTCTTTCTCTAAGGTTTGTTCCTCTTGCTTGTTTTTCAGGAAAAAATTAATGTAAACCAATGAAATTTTCCTCATTTACAAATGTAACGCCTACATATTAAAATTGAACAAACAAGTTCATGTATATGTGTGTGATACAACAAAATCATTTATTAAAGGGCAATTTGATTTGCTAAAAATGAAATGCAATGTAACATGTTTACATAGTACTATGATTACAATGTATTTGAAATATTTTAGAATTTTTTGGTTCACTGTAAAATCAATGTATGACTATATTTTTTTGTTTGGTTTGAAGTAGATTTAAAATAATGTATTTTCAAAAATATCGGCATGCCAACTGAACGGCGCCAAGCATAACTTAGCTTAATAGGGATATAGCTTTTTTTTCTTTGCCGAAAATTCGATGGGAAAATTGATTAAAGTATCAAATAAAAGGAGAGAAGATACGCTGCTCCATCTTCAATCATCTTCGACTCAAAGTGTAACTGTGGCTCTTGCATAGCTAGTAAAGCATGAATGTATATTTTTTTGTCGTCTTCTACTTTGCATTAAAGACGCTCATGTGAACTTAAATGAGATTTACTGTAATGCCTACAGAACTGCTCCATACTGGAGTTGTGGGAATTGCCTTGTCGTACATAAGAAAGTTTAAAAGCATATTCATGCCTTTTCTTAACTCTTCGCCTTGTGTTTGCTTGCCTGTGTGTTTGTTATTACAAACAAATAATTGTGTTTTGATTGCTGCTTCTGCTATATACCATGATGAGAAATTTCAGACCATATTACCCAGCAAAATCCTAATAATAATTTTATTTCTTGGTTTACTGTTCTAAATCCTAACAATAACTCTATTATCCAACAGAACTCATGGATAAACATAATAGACCATGGGAGCTTAACAATTCGAAACTCATTTTGTCAACAGCTATGTTGGTCCTAATCTTTGATACATGAAAGAGTAGCACGGCTAAACTGCTGCCGCATGTATGATTCCCTGTGTGTTATCTTAATTTTGTTTAGGCGTATGAGAACGTCAGTATTAGGCAATTTTAAATAACTGAAACTTTTCTAAGTGATTTTTTGCCGCTACAATGATTTAAATTTTTAGTTTGAAAAACGTTTGAACATTGCTATATCGCATCTAATTTTATGTTTTTAATTATAAATGTTCACAGTAAGATGCCCTTCAAACATTTTGTTTAAAATGAGCTTTCCATCAGTACTATCTAATGCTGAAAAACTCTTAACCGAAGAGCGCAGATAACATAAAGAGCTCTCATATTATATAAGTAATATCAAAGCATTAAATTTAATCTCAAGTAAAAAAAGTAAAAAAAACCATATAAGTAATATCAAAGCATTAAATTTAATCTCAAAGTAAAAAAAGTAATTAAAAAAAATACAACAACAACAACAAAAAAGCCTCCACTACGTGAGGTCGGCTACATGAATCCTTTTTCTTCATTGAGTCCTATTTAGTGTCATATTTTCATTTAGTTCTAATAAATTAAGATCTTCCTATGTCTACCTTTGTCTTTCTTAATATAAGTCAAATTTAAAACATCTACTCTCCTAATTGGATCATCAGATGGTCAACGTTTAATGTGACCAAATCATCTAAAACAACTCTCTCTAATTTTATCCATCACTAGAGCTACAACAACCCTATCACGAAGCTATTCATTTCGCATTGTCTCTAAGTGTAAAGCCACTCATCCACCTAATCATTCTCATCTCGGCAACACTTAACTTAGTATTATGCTTCTCTTTTAAAGGCCAACATTCAGCACCAAAGAGCATTGCAGGTCACCATTATCTTATAAAATTTTCATTTCAGTCTAAAGAATATGCAGGTCACCACTATCTTATAAAATTTTCCTTTCACTCTAAAGAGTACTTGTCTATCACACAAAAGGCCAGAAGCATTCCTCCACTTTAACCAACCAACTTGAATTCTACTATTAACATCCTCATCTATATTACCATCGCTTTGAACAAAAAGGTAAAAAAAAATATAATTATGTTAAAAATATTAAGTGATTTTTTTTCTTCCATAGGTTTTATGTGATGAATCAGAACATTTTAACGCCCTTTAATCATAACTCTTAGAAAGATTTACAACTATAAACTGAAGTAAATATACAATAGTCTGCATAAATCAACAATCATTCATAAAATGTCCTAAGCCTGCAACCATATCGTGTACAAGAATAACTAATTGAATCTTAATCGAAACAATTAGATAACTCGAAGGGTACAAAAATCTAGCTCACACTTTTAGAATGGCAAAGGAAAAAATAAACATAATTATGTCAGGAAGCGAAGTACTTGGATTCATCAACTGATGAGTTGCTCGGGGTCACTGGAGTTGATGGAGGTCCCACTCGGTAATTTTGCAAGGTAGCAAAGGACTCTCTCATTGCAGACATTGCCTCAAAGTAACGAGTGCATGATGCCAAAGCTACTGGGATTGGTCGAAGCATTTCCTTCAAATACATTAGCAAAACTTAAGTTTCTGGCTTTACAAGTAGAATTTGATGAATATATATATATCTATATTATATATATCTATATATATATATAGATATATA